TTTTTTTTTTTTTTTTTTTTATTTAACATGTCAAATTGTTGTGGTTGTTATTTGCAGAGTGAATTCTGCTAATGGAAAATGATAATTTTGATTTAGGTTTTCCTTTTATGACATAGTTGCTAGCTTGCCATCATAATTCACAACTTGTCTCACGGTTAGTTACTGTGTTAGTTTTTAGGATGGTTGTGAATTGTGGCCAGGATCTTGGTAATTTTAGTATTTTATTTTTTCCTTTTGTGTGTTTCCACTATCAACTGTCTCAAACTTGGAGCAGTGTTTGTTATTCAAGTATTTGAGATGCAGTTGTAATTCAGCTGACATGTTGGATTATGATTTGACTGAGATGACTGAATTCTGAACTATTAACTTGATGCTTTCTTATGATGAAGCTTTGTTGTCATGGTAAGTTATTCAGCTAACATGTTGGTTATTTATCCAGGTCTGGGGTATCTGCTTGGTAGGACTTCATTTTTGGAGAGATCAGTTAATGTCTGAATCAGACGCACAGCTTCCTACTGCCTTTGGTATGTTGTAACTCCCTGATAAATGTTCACAGATTATTTGGTGTATGATATGCTTTCATTCCAAGTACAGATATAGATAATTAGCCAAGACATGTATATATATGAACTTTCCCCTGCTTGATGGGATATTGAATCCAAGGTTTTAAATTGTGATCACAATCGCAGTTTTGTTGCGATCCTTGATATTGTGAGAAATTGCGGATAAAGATTTGGTCACAAATGTGGTCATGATGTGATTGCAGAGACTTCATAAACCTTGATATTGGGGCCAAAATGCTGTTGCAAACTGTTCTATAAAATATCGATTGAATATTCAGTAGCCCTTTTTTATATGTGGGTACTTTGCTTCACCATGTACCTATATTTAATTCAAGTTTGGATTTTGATTGAAAATTTTGATTTTCCCGTGTGAAGATCTTGATTCAAACCCATTAATAATTTCTTTTAATAGAATAAAGTGTATCTTTACAAACTTGGATAAAATTTCTGAACGACATTACATCGCTTGCCTCTTCTTGGTTTTTATGGGTTTGGTATGGTTTTACTGGTTCTGATGTTTGCTTTTTTCTCTGTTGTAGTTACTGATGTTCTTTTGTGGAAGAGGTGGCATGTTTCCTTGGGAGTCATCATTGTTGCAACAGTGGCCTGGATCCTATTTGAGTGGTCCAATTTACCATTTTTAACAATTTGTTCAGATGTCTTACTAATTTTGATCGTACTACTATTTTTTCATGCTAACTATGCTTCCCTTCGAAATAAGTATGACTGGTATCCCTTGTGCCTGTTTTATCTTTTTTTTTTCTTTTTTTTTTTTTTAATCATTTTCAACATTTAACACTGTCATTTGTATCCTTTTCTTCTCAAGCAGACAACCACCAGCATTACCTGAGCTAGTTGTTTCAGAGGAGATGGTTAATAATGTAGCAGCTTCATTTCGGGTCAAAATCAATAATGTGCTTCTTATAGCTCATGAAATCACTATTGGAAAGGATTTTATAATTTTTTTCAAGGTTAGTTTTATTTCAGGTTACAGCCTATTAGGGATTGTGGCTTGGCCAGTTGGGGGAAATGTGATCTAAATAATCAGTAATTCTAAAGATATATTTTTTTTGTTGTTGAAAAGAATACTAGGTTGAGTATGATATTGTTTAGAAGGATTACATATGAAATTGGCTTATGAAACATGCCAGCTGTTCATAACTCACCTTCTTTGAACCTTCTATGTTGAACTAATTCCTTCAAATGTATCATTTTTTTTTCTACAATATCTGTGGGCATGTTCTGTTATGTCAGCAATTTTATGGTATTCTCTTAACTTTTTATCTTGCTGTACAATTGTGATTTTCGTAGTTAGAAATGACATAATAGTAAATTTCAATATTTTGTATATGGCTTGATGGAAAATTAACAGAGATAATCCAGTTTCTGTCTATTGTCTCCTTGACAGGTAGTGATTTGTCTCTGGCTCCTGTCTGTCATCGGCAGCATCTTCTCCTTCTTTACACTTGCGTATATTGGTATGCTTGCTTTATAAGTCTATTAGTTAAAAGCAATTTTAGATGTATCTAATTGAGTCCCTTGTCTCTCGTTAGTGTAGAGTAAAATTCCGTACATCATTTTTTGGTTTTTACTCGAACCTTTTGGCTTTCCTTTTGGAAGTCATTTGTGTCCTATTCTGTGCAAGTAATCTTTCTTAAACTTTCTTTGCATTTGCATGGTTTCCATTTACCCCATTGAATGTTTGCATACGCATAGTTGGTTGGTTTTGAGCTTATTACTTGCATGTGTGTCACAAATCCTAATTGAAGTCGTCATCTATTATGTTTTGTGCTGTGAAGAGTCATTTTGACGGCTAATTTTCTTGAACAGCACATGTAAATCTTTCATGTTTCAACACTAGTAGAGTGTGTGTGTATATATATATATATATATCATTTTATTTATTTATTTACATATCTTCCTCTTTAATGGTGACAGGAACCCTCATGATGATTACTATCCCTGCATTGTACAAAAAATACGGAGGTTATGTAGATAAATGTTGTGGAGTTATACATCGCCAATTTTCAAAGCATTATAGAATAGTAGATGAGAATGTTTTCAGCAGACTGCCCCGAAATATATCAAAGGACAAAGAGTCTTGAAATTCATGTTCTTATGTTGTGTGTTTTAGAATCTTACCAGCTTTTGCCTCATGTAGGAGACAGGTTTGTAGTTTAGATGTTGCTCAAGTCAACTGCGTGGTAACTATTTTCATTTTCCGGATTTCGAATAGAGAAAGGTTGCAAGCTTGTGTACCTAGCTAGTTTGAGGATTTTGATGTAGAAACTTTTATTATCAATTGTTAAAAATCTTGTGGAAAATATTATAGAAGTTACACCGAATGATGACAAACACAGTTAGCAATGTTTGAATATATTCATTATATTATTTTCAATGTGCTGCTTCTAACTTGAAGTGCCAGATTATTTTTATCTGTTTATGAAATGTTAGGTCTCACCGCTTGACGAGTCCAATGACATTTTTCTATTTGTACATTAAAAGAAAAACACGTCAAATAGTTGTACACCCAATGTATTATGTAGTGAATCACTCGTGGTAGAGTTCTGGAGGGATAGGATAATATGTATAGATCTTATTAAGTTTGATTTTTTTTTCTGTCATTGTAATTTATTGATAAAAAAACACTTTATGTATTTTTCTCTATCTCTTTAAATCATCTTAAAAAAAATCTTCCTAATAAAAACTTTCGCATGATAATGGTTCACCCGAATCATCTAAAAGTATAGTTTTCGTTTGAACCGTCCAATTTTTGAGTTTATAATAAAATAGAAGAATTTGGATAAAAATAATATATATATAAATATATATAATAATTTTCTCAGTAAATTAGGAAAAAACGTAATTTCTATTTCTGTACTTTTTAGCTCCATTTAACCTAAAGCAAACGTTACAAATATAGTTTCATGGTCTATTTGGAAGAGATGATATAGTAGGAAATAGAGAAAGGGAGCGATTATCAAGAAATTAAAAGAAGTGTTTAGAAGAGATGATTTAAGTGGATTTGTTAGAAAATTGTAGTAAGATGCATGTGAATTTAATTCCACTCTTATGAGTGGATTTATGTAGGTTTTTTCACAAAATTATGCTTGAACAAGACTATCACTACACTATTATATAAATAGTTAATAAAGGGTAAAAATGCAATTATCTAAATAATATATCTTTACATAAAAATTTAACTATATAAAATATAATTTTAAAATACTAAATTTTTTTTATTTCTCATCTAATTTCACTTTATCAAATAACTACAAATTTTACACGGTTCTTACCAATTTTTTTTTATTAAATCAATTCTCACATATCCTCTTTCATTTTCTTTGATTCTTCTCCCTTTCCAAACAAAACATCAAAGACAATCATGTCAAGTTTTATGAGAGAATAGTCATTTTTCTCATCACTAACGAATGTTTTATTTATAATGATCTTAAATTTTACATTGTTTCTTCAACAATATTATTATGATTATCATCTTGTTCTTGTTTTGCATTAGAATTAGAGTATGATATTGAAAGTTTTTATTTTATTAGCAATTAAAAATTATCTTTGATTTAATTTTCAAACAAATTTCTCACTTATATAGTTTCTGGTTAAATAATAGTATAAATATTTATATTATTCATGTATTATTTATTTTATATCTATCCCCGAACATTTCTATGCATATAAAGATGATGGTTATGATGTTTTAAATTTTAAACAATGTCAATTTCTTGAATGACACTATCTTTAAATAACGAAAAACTGGGCTTAACAAAAGAAAATTTATGAAAAATCATAATACATAACAGTATAACACTCCAATAGCATAAGAAGAAAATACAATATAAACAATACTGCTAACTGGCTTAAAACTAGTATTTTATTTAACAAAATGAACTTCTGTCTTACACAATCTACCTCTTGTAAATTGCTTCATGCATATTTCATTTTTTGGGCCCTGGCCCAAACAATTCCTAAAGGCATTGGGGAATAGATTGACATTGGGGGTATTGTTGACGTGGCCATGCAAAGCCCATCTTCATGTCACATATTGTGCCTGAAGTCATGCTGATTCTCTTCCATTTTGCTTTCAACACATACAATGAACACTCTCTTAGGCATATCTCACTAGGGATGACAAATATATCCGTACCCGCGGGTAATATCCGAACTCGTCCCGACTTTGACGGGAAATACTCGGTTTGACCGGGTACGGGTACTGGTATGGATAAAACCAGATATATTAAATTAGGTACGGGTACGGGTATGAATATGTACTTTACCCACCCCGTACCCTTACCCGTTCCCGTTCTCATTTTTAATTTAATACCTACTTTCAATTTAATTATATTAAAGAATTTTAATATTTTTTTATGTGATTATTTATTATAATATAAGATAGAGAAATAACCTAATTATAATTATAATATAATAAAAAATAATTTAAAAATATCATTTTTTTATAAAAAATAAAAAATAAAAAAATTTGACGGGTACGGACAAATATATCCGATACCCAACGGGGACGGAAATGAGGATGAAAATCATATACTTGACGAGTACGAGTACGGGGACGGGAATGGGTTTGACTCGCGGGGACGGGAACAGGTATCATGAAACCCGTACCCGACCCGCCCCGTTGCCATCCCTATATCTCACTGAGAGGAACCCCACTATTCTTTGTTGGCATATGGATCAAGTGACATCAACAAGCCTTATCTCACTTTCCTTCAAAAGCCCAAAACTTGAAATTTGGTTTGAACACCATTCAATTTCTTCTTCTTGCAAAATCTTGTTTTAAGGTATCTTTTCCATAAGAGAGCTTCTAATATGAAGTATGTAAACTATGTGTACACCCGTGAAATAGTAAATAGTGGGAATGTAAAGAAATCTATATCCACGGATAAAATTAATTATGGATAAAAAATAAATATTATAAATGGATATTTGTAAATAATGGATACAAGTATTTTTTTATATATGTATGTTAACGAGAAGGATACGAATATCATAATATCTATATCCATGGATATCCACTAATATTCAATTATATAATAACATATTAAATTTATTTTAACTTATGAAAATAAAGTACTTTAACAATTAAATTTAGTTTTTAAATTGAAGAATCTTTATTAATAAAATTATGTATAATATTTAAATAATTGAAGTTTTCACTTTTAAATTATTATTTTTAAAGAAAATTAGAATAAATAAAAAATTTATTATTAAAATAATTTTGAAAATTTAGTTATTTATTTTAAATAAATATCCACAGATTTTCGTAAATACTTGTAGATATTGAAATACACACAGGTATGGACATGGGTATAGGTGAATATTTGTGGAGAAAAGAGAAATACTAGAAGGGGGATTGAATAGTGTTACTAAAAAATCCTCACTTTTAGTAATGCAATGAAGTAGTAATTGTAACAGATATGAGAGGACAGACAAAACTAAGAATGAACTTAGGAATTTATACTAATTCGTCTCAACTATCGAGATTACGTCCATTTCTTGATCCAATCAGACCAAGTTTCACTATCTTATGATACAAGTATTCATTATCAAGTTACTTCTGGCTCAACCCTAAGTATTCTTTGAATTGTCTCTTCAAGCAATCTATCCAAGTATTCTTTTAACACAAAGTCTCTCCAAGTTTCAAAACCGAGTATTGTTTTATGGTTAAGCCTCTCCAAGCTCAAATAACAAGTATTATTTTACATACAAACTTCTTTAAGCTCAAACCTAATAACTTAAAGTTACAAAGGTTTATAAGGTTGTTTCGTCTTCCTGTCAAAACGTGATACAACAAGTTACATACATAGACTTTTTACAGAAAGAAAGAATGATCAATCTCTATTATCATCATTTTCTTTTTTACTTTAAAGCTTCCTTTTATAAGGTTAAGATAACCGTTGCAAATCCTTGAGCTTCTCTCTTATGACTTGCTTCATATGTCTTCACGATTTTCTTATTGAGGAAAGAAGTGTCCATTGGTGTAATAAATGTTTGTATTAAGTGCTTGCACCAAATTGTCACTTCTTATATGATCAAATAAGCTATTTATCGCCTTTTAGTACCAAGTAGGTAGAACCATGCGTGTGACAAGATGTTACAGTGATGAAACAACTTTTGACTATAGCTTTCTGTATTGTAGAGATTTGTTTTTGCTTTTAATCAAAGCATGTCTTCTTTCCTTTTTGTAGAAAGTTGATATCGAATAAGTATTTTTAAATTCGATCTATTAAGGAAACATTCAGACTTAGTCAATTTCTTATTTTAGATATCCTAAATGATAAAGATTTAACGCATATCTCTTTTTTGTGACTAAGGGTTTGTCTTATTCATTAACAAAATCATCTTAATGTATCTATCATCTTATACATGATTCATCTTACTAACTAGTTGCGTTTTAGTAGAAGATTTGTGTCAATCATTTCAAAAACTTTATAATGTTGATCAAAAACTTCTATGTTTGTTAACAACAAAACTATATTTGGCGGGGTGAGTAGTGGGGGATTACTACCTATCCCTACCTCACCCCATTAACATCCATAATATTAGAATTAAATGGGTATTTCTGTCATTACAACCTCAAACACTTTTTACTATTTTGATGATGTTCACTCAAATCAACTACAACCTATCATCTATTCTAAACAAATGACAACACTAAAAATCCTAAATAAACAAAAGGTTAATTATATAATTTCATTTATAACATTATATTATAATCTTCAATTTTCCTACTTCATCTTAGCCATTCAATATAAATATTATATATGTAACGGTGATAACTCATGGTCCATTCATATATCACACGATAAAATACATTAGAACACTTTATATAATTGATGGGAAAAACTCTTCACACAATAAGATTATCCACATGTCCAAAGATCTTAAACAGAACACATATTTTATTTCTTGGCTCATTATATATAAAGCAAAACTATAATACAAAATTTGAATCATATAATCCTTATAGTTTTAAAGAAAAGGAAATAAACCTCTAAAAGATATTTAAACAAATAAAAATATGTAAATCTAAATAATATCCTAAAGATTACAAATTCCTAAAATAACTACTTAAATTTCCACTGACTCAATTTATTTGAAATTTAAATTATTTTCCCAACAAGTCCTCCCTTAATTAAAATTTTCAAATAACTATTTGATTAAAACATTTATCTTAAAACTTGTCCTTTCAAGTATCAAAGATTTTTCTCATTCTTTTGTCCTTGTAATATCAAGCGCTCCCTCTTATACACTTTGTTTTCCCATTTTGAACCAACATACATGTAGTCTTGTGATGTCAGCATTTCCAATGAAGTTATATTGGATGCAACAAAAGGTACATATCTCACATTTTCAAAAGTTTG